AGTGGACCATTCAAATCACAGGTTAGTTGAAAACCTAACAGGGACCCATTAGGACACTCTACTCATTTTTCTGGTCACTTCCAGTAGCCCAATGCCATTGAGCTAAAATATATAATCTGGTAATATTTTCGAGGAAACCTTAAAAATCATGTTTGTTGTTTCTAGACAATTTCATTATCTTCCCACCCTCCTTCCTTTTCTCCTCTATTCTCAGTTTAATTTTGGTATTCTTTTTAGTTTTTAGAGTTACCCCAGAGTACATCAAGGATATGCTAAAAGTAGAAATAGCAGTGTGAATAATTTTAATGATTTCTATCATCAACATCGATGCCTCAAAGTATATATTATGCCATTCCTCAAATTTAAAAACGAATTGAGCCAGGCATGGTGGCACATACCTGTCATCCCAGAACCTTGGGAGGCTGAGGCAAGAAGATCACAAGTTAAAGCCAGCTCAGCAACTTAGCAAGACTATGTCTCAAATTAAGAAAATTAAAAGAGTTGGGGATGTGGCTCAGTGGTTAATTGCCCATGGATTCAATCCTAGATACCAAGACACACACACAAAAAAAAAAAAGAAAGAAAGAAAGAAAGAAAGAAAGAAAGAAAAAGAAAAAAAATAATTGAGGGAAACATTTACTTTTTTAAGTTTCTCAAGAGAGTCTATGTTGAATTTTTATTTTTGCCATTGAGATATTGTAAGTGACTAACTTATAAAACAGAAGTAATGTGAAATCCCACATATTATCTTTCATATTCTTCCTTAATGTGAATAGTGATTGATTTGTTAGAATCTTAGGAACAGTAAGAAAATACTGATATCATTTCCCCTTATCCTCAGTGTTATACTTTTTCCTAAATATCGAGTCCCAGGACTCAATTTCTTTAGTCAAGATTTCACAGGTGTGAAGACAGAAACTACAAGAGGCAAAAGACTTGTCCACTTTATTGAAATTCATTGAAAACAAAACTCTTGGGGCTGGGGCTGTAGCTCAGTGGCAGAGCACTTGCCTAGCAGGTGTGAAGTACTAGGTTCAATGCTTAGCACCACATAAAAATAAACAAATAAAATAAAGGCATGAGTCCATTAACAACTACAAAAAAGAAAAAAGAAGAAAGAAAGAAAACTCTTACTAACAGATACATTTAAATATACATTCAACAAGTAATTTCTTCATCTCTTTTACCTAAGTTACATTCAACATTTAAAGCTCTTTCTCCCTAGCATTATTTCCTAGGCTTGTCAGTGTTAAGTTAGAGGTTTTTTTTTTTTTTTTCCTTTTCTTTAAAGACTTTTTAAAGTCCAATTATAGGATGAATTCAGATGTGTACCAGAGTATGTATTTTGTAAAATGTTCCAGATGAAGGAGATTTGTTTGTAAATTATCCATTGTTTTCCAGTATAGCTGACGGATGTGATAAAAATTTCATTTTCTTACCATGAGGCCTTGATCATCAACATTAGGAAAGCAGATATTGTAGAGCTTTTTGTAATATTAAATGTGCAGTTTAAAGCAATCAAGTTTAAATTTAAAATATGTGTGTGTTTGTGTGTGTGTGTGTGTGTGTGTGTGAGAGAGAGAGAGAGAGAGAGAGAGAGAGAGAGAGAGAGGATATATATATATGACTTATAATAGTAATAAAAAATACCACAGGAAACTGGGTGAGCAACATGGCATCCTGCTATATAACCATTAAGGTGACAGGTACGTGTCATGTCCATTTTGTGGAATTTTTAAGTGGAAAAGATCATTACAAATAGTGAAAGCAAACAAAACAATTGAGTAAAACTAAAAATCAAAAACTACAACTGATATTAAGTTGTACAAAATAGTCATTATCTTTTCTTTATAGTTGTTCAAATTCATAATGAAATTGAATTTCCTGTTTTGGAAACAGTGCTACTTTCCCAATTCTTCCTGAGCCAAGACTTTAAACAATATCCTGAATTATTTTCCCATAGATTAATTCTCAGAACATCACAATATCTTTCTTCAAACATAAAAAAAAAATTAAACAGAGATAAAATCACTAGGTAGTTCCTGTTCAACACACAGCTCCATGGGCGTAGCCCCCCCCACCACTAGAGGAAGAAGGAAGTTCTAAGATGTTAAATACTGGGACCAGCTTCCCTAGCTCAGCTTAGTGGTCTGACTTTCCAGTCAACATGAAGGCTTTTCTGATTCTGGGGCTTCTTCTCCTTTCTGTCACAGTCCAGGGCAAGGTCTATGGAAGGTGCGAGTTGGCCAGAGCTCTAAAAAGACTTGGAATGGATGGCTACCGTGGAATCAGCCTGGCAAACTGTAAGTTGGGTCTTCCTCTTTGTTTTTACAATGGTTGAAAACATCATTTTGGTCCTCTAGAATTAGAGACAGCAGGTGAAGGGATGTGGGCATGGGAGGGAAAGATTCTATACCATTCTGAGTCTAACAGGACCTGATGACCTCAGCTAGTGCCACTAGGTGGGCAGTTTCCTCAAATTCAATGCCCCACGTACACTGAAGGACCTGTTTGGAACTCAGGTTCTCAGCCTAGAGTGACATAATTCTTTTTCTATTCTTTTCTTAAATTCCTCTGCCATGCCAGCCACAGTGACACATGTGTACTCCCAGTAACTCTGGAGTCTGAGGCAGGAGTATCTCAAGTTTGAGGCCAGCCTAAGGACTTTAGCGAGACCTTGTCTCTAAAACCCAGCAGGCTGAGGATGTAACTCAATGGTAGAGCACCCCTGGGTTCAATCCCACAAAAGCTAACAAAACAAAACCCTTGCTATGACAGGGTATGTTTCACAGCAAAATACTATAAAATTAAGTTGAATTCTCCAAAAAGGCCCTACAAACCCATTCCCCACCCCATTCACTATTTATATAAAGATCCTAAAATTCAGCATGAAATGCTTCATTATTCATTCTAGGTTGATTAAATTTCAATTTCTTCCACAACATTCAAAATGTGCCATGAGGAAAAGTTACTTTACAGCATACTTCATATTCTCCAATATCAGTACTTTTCAGATTGACCCCAAACACTTCCCCTTCCACAGCTATTTGTAAATGAATGAGCAAGTAAGTACATGAATGGGTGGTTGAACAAAATCACAGAATAGCCTTTCCTATTCCATAATTCTTGGTTTCAAGATTCAAACTTAACATCCCAATTCACCTTTATATATTACAAGAAAATCTCTCTCAGAAAAGTCCTTAATTGTTTCTAATAAAGCATCTTCCCATCAGTCTATGGATCCGCTATGAATTTGTACAACTTTCTCAACAGCTCCATTTTCTCTTCTAGGATCAATGTTATCTGAGAGATGAGAACAGGGGAAGGTAAAAGCAGTGAAAAAACAGCAACTTAAATATTTTTTTAAAATTCCTTATCTTGCTTCACATTCTTATAAACTGATTTGTGCTACAAAAGGATACTCCTAGGGACCCTCTGTAACAAAGGTGTTGAGGCAGGCAGGCCTGGTGGCTCAGACCTGTAGTCCCAGCTACTTGGGGAGCTGAGGTGGGAGGATCACTTGAGCCCAGGAGACCACCCTGGGAACTCAGTGAAACCCTGTCTCAAAACAACAAAACAACCCTAACGTGTTAAGATTTTTTTATCAATTAAACACATCTTGTACTTACAAAGTAAGTTGCTAGTAAAATAGAATTAGCTACATAGAGTTGACTTGATACACAGTATAAATCATTTGGTGTTGCTATTTATTATAAAAAAACAATTTCTTTTCAGGGGTGTGTTTGGCCAAATGGGAGAGTAGTTACAACACCAGAGCTACAAACTACAACCCTGGAAGCAGAAGTACTGACTATGGGATATTCCAGATCAATAGCCGCTACTGGTGTAATGATGGCAAAACCCCAAGAGCAGTTAATGCCTGTGGTATATCCTGCAGCGGTAAGACAAGATAATATTTGAGTGATGGCTCAAGAACTACCTGCATGTATTTACAAGAACAGATGTTCAAGTGAATGAAATAGCCTTGAAGGATTTGTCAGGGAGTTAGAAAAAGTCCATCTCGGTGGTAGAGTGCCTGCTCATTTATTGTTAATGACCTTATTGATGCTATTCCACAACATTGCCATCCCATGTGTCCACTTAAAATAGCTTAAGGATTATTTCATTGTGTGGTCCTTTTTTGATTGTTTTATGCTTTATTATTAAATATTCTAAATATGTAAAAAGCTAGGTTTTCATATAATGAATAACCAGATGACTATGCACTTTCAATAGTTATTCACATTTTTCCATAGATTTTACTTGTATGTGTATGCAGATTTTGCTGAGAGATTTTAAAAGTGAATTAGAAACATTGATATTTTAATTAATAAATCCTCTAGCTTGAATCTCCAAAATATACAATTACTAAATAATCATTATCACACCTAAAACATTACCTTACGTATTTATGTACTTGGGATGAAACATTATGTTTTAATAAGAAAAGAACTCACAAGGTGCATTATATATATATATATATATAAGGTATGGGAATACTAGACTCCTGAACTCATAAAAATAGAAATATCATGTGCAATTTTCAGTGCATATAATAGTGCATACATATTGCATATCTGATATTTTAAAAATTTTAAATGTTAAAATTCCAAAGTGTAGATAAGTTTTAAAATATTTTTAACCTATCTGATTTGCTTTAAAATTACTCTGTATTATATAATAATCTATGGTTATTGAATAATATTTAGAAAATATAAGCAAGATGAAATAGCATTCACAGTCTTACTACCTAGAGATTTATAACCATGGATAACTTTTGGTATATACTCTTTCAGAATGTACATCAACATGTAAATTATATACATCAAATCAAAGTTATATCACACATATACATAGCCAGATACAAATGTTTTTATAAAAATTTAATTTATCCTGCTCTACAATTTGCATCACATAAAATTATTGCCATATCAACTCATACAAATCTATGTTATTATTATTGTCATTTGTTATTATTATTATCATTTGAAATATGTTGTTATTATTATTATCATTTGAAAGGGTAAAGAGAATTCCACTAATAATTTTAATATATTTCTCTCTCTCTCTCTCTCTCTCTCTCTCTCTTTAAATTCTTTTTCATTTTTGTGCATTTTGCCACTGAGCCATATCCCTAGACTTCTTATTATTTCTTTGAGATAAATCATCAATGGTAGAATTCCTGAGTAAAAAATTCTGGGCTTGTCTTTTTTCACAGTGTACAAAGAAGACCTTTTGTCATATTAGATAGTATTGAGGGCCTCCAACAATTTAGAAACTGAGAAACAATGTGCTATTTCATGTCAACAAGGAAAAAAATTAAAAGGAAGTTTTTCACAACAATCACTGATATATAAATTCTTGGAAAAGAACTTCTTGGTTTGCTTCCTCTGCCTAACATAATAAAACTGATTAAGGGTAAACTTCCAATGAAATTTCTAGAACATCCTTTTCATGCCTCACCACCTCTCTTCCAGCTCTGTTGCAAGATGACATCTCTCAAGCTGTAACTTGTGCAAAGAGGGTTGTCCGTGACCCACAAGGCATTAGAGCATGGTATGTTTTAAGGTTTGAAAGGGGAAACTGTTTTACTCTGCAGTGAGAGAAAAAATTCAGAGACTTAAGTGCCATTCTGAATGTAAAGTTGCCCTTTGGGGCCTAAGGGACACAATGTATTACCTCCATCAGAAGAGACAATCTGCTTGAATTGATTCACAGTCTTGCCCGTTTTCTCCTCCGTGGATTTTAGGGATTTCTAGAGTTTTAAATATTCTCCACCCTATACTAGTTCTTTATCATATCTTTTTTTTTAGGGGTGGGGGAGTGGGAGGTTTGTATAAGGGATAGAACTAGGGACACTTAACCACAGCCCCAGTCCTTTTTTATTTTTTATTTGGAGACAGGACTTCACTAAGTTGCTAAGGTTGGCTTTGAACTTGCAGTCCTCCTGCCTCAGCCTCCTGAGCAGCTATGATTACAGGCATGCACCCCATGTTGATCTCCTTGTCATATTTGAAACAATTTGTGGAATAAGTAAATGGGCCATGCACATAACATTTGTGTTCAGCATTCTGTGCCCTATGGAGGCCTCTAAGGAGGAGCAAAGCACCTGTATACTCATCTCTACTTAATCAGTAGCAGTACCTGGGTCTAATTGTAGCCTGAATGATATTTATGGATACAATCTTTTGCTCCCACAAAAAGAATTGAGTATGTACACTACAATGGAAATATGTTTTAACCTTTGCTGTGTGTTTCCCTTTTCTCTGCAGGGTGGCATGGAGAAATCGTTGTCAAAATCGCAACCTCTCTCAGTATATTCAGGGCTGTGGAGTGTAACTGCAAAATTTTCCTTCCTTCTTCAGCTCATTTTGTCTTCACCATAATAAGGGAGTTGTATTTAATTGAAAGTTCACACTACCATTGTTTCCCCTTCAAACAAATAGCATTTTTACAGTAGCAAGAGCAAAATATAACCTTTCTCATAATAGCCATAATATTTACGAATGTGTCTATAATTTGGTAGTGAACCCCCATTTTCAGCTTGCTAATAAAGCTAATGCTGGTGAAAATTTATCTGCAAACTTGATTATCCAATACATCACCAGTACAGTTTTTCATTAATGAAATACTAGTATTTCCCAGTACTATATAAAAGTATAACAAAAGGCCATCTTAAAATCAATTGATCTTAGGCAAAATCCAAGCCGTGTAGGCATCCAATGCCTCCCATGCACATACTCATATCCAAAAATATGAAAAATAAACACTCTGTTGACAGCATATAATTTTTTAAAGGAATGGAGTGCCAAATGGCTTAGATGGATACTGACTGAATTAAGAATTTTGTTCGCACAAAGTTTGTGGCCTTTTGTTTAAGTATTTTCTTGAAATATTGCATTTATACAGCAAAGAGACTCACAATTTATATATCAATCTTTTTTAAAGGGCACTTAGGTGCATCTTGCTGACTGTAGAAACATCATGAGGGATTAAATGGGCTATTGCTGTTCCCCAATTTTATTGCTTGCATTACTGAATTAACCACAGGAGTGAAATTATGCATATGTAAAAATTACAAATGTTATCATTAAATGGTTGCATTTCTTCCTTGTGTGTCTTTGTTTAGACCTATGTAGTGTCTCAAGAAAAAAAATACACATATTTGAAAAAGATAAAAGACTTAAATTTCTTCTATATTCTCACCTGCACTTAAATAGCTGGCTATTGCTGGAGGAAAATCCACAAATTCTACAAAGAACAAGTATGCTAATAAATCTCACTTTAAATTCATAACCATGAATCTCATATGTACCTCAAGTCAGCATGGCCATCCAAGTCACTTCTCTGGATTCCTTTTGTGGTGTTGTCTCCCTCTCTAAAATGATTATGATTATTTCACTTCTCCCATTCTTTGTTGAGAGCCCCAACACGACATCTGACACCCTCTCTGTTCTCTAACCTTCCACCATCCTCTGCTTTTAGCAGATAATCTTTGCTTATATATACCATTTAAAAAAAAAAGCCATTTCAAAGAAGCAATACAAGGTTCTCCCCCTGTCACAAAGCAGCAGTCACACCTTCCCCTCACTGACCCTTCCTCCCCCCTCCCCTCCCCACTGTTTCTGGGATGAAGGGCCTTTGCTCCTGGCAAAGGCAGCATCTCCACATGCAGCCTCTGTCCTATCTCTAGCAACAGATATTCCAAGCTAAGCTGAGTTTTTCCCTCTCTGCTCCATCACCTCCATTATTGTGCAAAGGGCCCCAGCATCCTCTCATCCTACAAAGAACATTCCACTGACCCTCCACCACCCTCCAAGTACAACCTCATCATGACTCTGCTGTCTCTATGGCAAGACTTCTAGGGGAGAAGCGCATCCCCACCTCTCTCTTCAGCGCTTTCCAATCTGGCTTCTGTCTCACTCAGCTACCTCTGCTGCCCTAGGATTTCTCTCATGACTCCTGGGTGCAATTTCAGTGATCATCTGCTCTTCCTACTTGATCTCTCATCAGCATTTAGCTAAGTGAGCCACTTCATATCACCAGAAGCTTTTTCTCTCTCACCTTTTTGCTTATATCCCACTTCACGGGTTGTTCCTTCTCAGTTTCTCTTTCCCACTCTTTCCCTGCTATTTCATTTGTAAATTGTGAGTACTCCAGTGTTCAAACCAATAAACATTTGATACACTACAAATTTTCCTTATTCATATACAGTGGTCCCCCATTGTCCAGTATTTCACTCTCCATTGTTTCAGTTATCCACGATCACCTATGAGCTAAAAATATTAAGGGGAAAGTTCCAGAAGTAAATAATTGATAAGTTTTGGTTGCATGCCATATGGAGTACTGTGATGAAATCTCCCACAGTTCTGCTCTGTCCTTCCTGGGACATGAATCATCCCTTTGTCCAGTGTACTTGCACTGTACATGCCTCTGCTCATTAGTCATTTATTATCCAACTGGGTTATCAAATTGACTGTGCTTAGTTACAATTTCCCCTTTATGGGTTTGAGGTTTGAGTAAGTCCTATTGCTTTACAAATGACCTCTAACATGGAAATGGGAGACAAGGCATTGTGAGAGTTGGGAAAGTTCACATGAGTCTTATTTATGACAGCAATTCATTGATTTCTACCAATATAGGACTTACAGGTTAACAAAAACTAGAGAAGGAAACTGATGAACAACATGTCATCATGCTATAAATTATTTAAGATGACAGATACATGCATTGTGTCTGTTTTGTGGAAAAGTGTAGATAAAATAATTTAAGTAAAAAAAAATCAATACAAAATAGTTAAAGCACACAAAACAGTTCGATCAAAATGAATGTTACTCAAACACCACAGTTGTAAAGGTAAAATTTCTAAGCTGATTCTAAGCTGCAAGAGTCTGAGTTAAAGTGTAAAAGACTAGGCATTGTAAGGTTTCTAAATTGAAAGGCTTGGGTTAAAAAAAAAAATAATAGGCCAGGTATTGTTAAAATTCCTCTGCTACCCCCGGAACCTGTAATCTCTGTAGCTGTTAGGACAATACCTGAACTGCCCAGTAAATATTTCCATTGATTCCCTGGTGGTTTATTAGCTAAGGGCTCCAAATAGCTCAGTAGGTAAGCATCCAGGCCACAAAACCAATCATTTTAAATGTGTACCCTGCTTAGTAGTGACCAATCACCCCTGCCCAGACTGTTCCCGCCAATGAATGTACTAATCATGGCTCAGAGTTGTTGTTCAATTTTCCCACGCCTCAAGATGATTTGTTCTGATGTATGCAAAGCCCCCCACCCTCTCCAAAAAGTGTACTTAAGCTCTGCTTGACCTCTGCTCTGGGCTCTGGGCTGCTCTTCCTTCCTGAGTGGGCCTTGAGCCCCAGCATGCTGGTCCAATAAATCCCCTTTTGCCAATTGCATGAAGCCAGTCTCTTGTGTGGTCTCTCCCTCTGACGCTCTGCCGGACCCTTACACAGTTGAGATGGAAGCAGTGGTGGACACTGTTAGGTCGGTGGCAGCGACTTGGTGGCGACTTGGTGGCGACTTAGTGGCAACTTAGAACAAAGAAGCCCGAACCGGAAAAGAACATCAATCAGATGCCGGCGGAAACGCCTGTCAATCAGCCAGATCTCCTGACGCCTGTCAATCAACAGGACCCCCCTGGCCAATCCTGGAGTTCAGCCAACTCCCCTGACCAACTACAAGGGGGCAAGGGACCCTAGAAACACCTTTTCCTGTCCCAAGCCCTTCCCTTCCTGCTGTAAGCCCCATAAAAGTCCAGTCCAGTCGAGCTTCCACGTGGTTTCTCCTCAGACCCTTCTCCTGTCCCCTCTGTGGGTCTGATCCAGTTCCGCCCCGGAGTGATATCTTAATAAAGCCTGTTCTTTTAAATCTGCCTCCTTTGGCCATTGCCTGCCCTGACTGATCTGACAGACACCTGTAATATCAGTGACTCCGGAGGCTGAGATAGGATTGAGGGTTCAAAGCCAGCCTCAGCAACAGCAAAGAACTAAGCAACTCAGTGAGATCCTGTCTCTAAATAAAATATAAAATATAAAATAGAGCTGGGAATGTGGCTCAGTGTTTGAGCACCCTTGAGTTCAATCCTCAGTTCTCCCTGCCTTCTCCCATCAAAAAAAGGCATTTGGGACTGAGTTGCCAATATTATACCCAATGGCCCTAAATACTTCAGTGTGTAATTTCTACGAAGACTTTCTGTTAGGGGAGCTGGTGCAAATATCCACGAGAGACACACCTCTGAGTCAAGAAAAGGTTTATTGACAGAGAATATCTTCCAGCCTGCCCTTCTGCAAGGCTCAGCAACCTGCTGGAAAAACTTCTTAACTATATAGTCATGTACAATGGAGTAGTTAAAAAATAGCCCATCTAGTGTTATGATTATTAGTTGGTTTCTTATTGTGGTTTTGGTAGTTAGGGACTCACTAGGGGCAGGCCTAACGGGAAGGTCATGCCTGGGTGGGCAAGTGCTGATTTTCAAAATGGCATTACTTTGGCCTAAGGACCTAAAACTTTCTCCTACATAACCTCAAAATAACCAGCCTTATTAGGAAATTAACACTAATACAATACTACTCTAATAACCAGATCCCATTTTATTTCACCAATAAAGGAACTTTATAGTAGTGAAACCACAGATGTTGAGAATCAATCAGGGCAGAGTTCTGTTTCCCCAGATGTGAAGATTGAACACCCGAGAAACACATAGGCAAGCAAAGAAAACAAGTTTTATTTAAAGGATACAACAGAAACCAACTTCTCCACAGAGAAGGGTCCCCAGAGCTGAAAATCCAAAGAAGTGAGAGTGTCTTGACCCTTTTCTACATTTTAGAATTCCTTCATTCTCATGCCCTCCTTCCCCTTGCCTCCCTCCTCTCCCCATCTTGCATAGTGACCAGTGACCAGGAGATGAGCCAAAAGGCGAGAAGGAAGCCCTCCAGGGATGCCTCTCAGGGTCTACCCAAAGTGGACACCCAGGAGGTGCTTCATTAACAACCCTTTGAGAGGAATATTTCCCTGTAAGCAGGTTACCTTGGTAACGGGTTGAGGAGGAGGGGGAAGTGCTCTGGAGGTATTAGCATTTCAGTCTTCCAGAGGCAACCTACATTCTCCCAGACCCAAATCAGGTCCCAACAATCGACCCTATTATTTATTATTTAAATTCACTGACTTTTGTCCCACAGCTTCAGTAAAATAGTGACAGAAGCAAAGGCCCTTTACTCTCCCAATAAAGTACTTAAAAACAATAAGATCTAATTGAGAATCGTCGGTTACATTTGATTGTCATGGTTTTTTCTTCTCTCAATCTGCATAAGTTTTTCAGTTGTCATTTTTTTCTTGACTTTTATGTCTGAAAGCAAATGAAAAAGTAAAAGCAATGGAGACAGACCTTGACAGATTGTTGTAGGAAAGCTGGACACTGAGGAATTAGCAGGAAGCAGGTTTATCAGCTGCAGCCAGGTCCAGATGTTACTGCTGTTTACCTGTGAGTCCTTACTTTCCCCCCCCCCATGCTGAAGTATAACATCAAAGAAGCACACCGGGGCAAGTTTAGAGTGGAAAGTAAAAGCTTTATTAAAGGTCGGTAGAAAAGACTTCTCCCTGCAGGAAAAAGGGGACCCAAGAGGTGGAATCCGTGGAAGGGAGAGGTCTTCCCTCAGCTTTCCTGCATTCCTGTCCCATTTCTGTCCTTAGTTCTGTTATCTTGTAGTGAGGGAATGTAGGTGGGGAAGCTCCAAAGGATGGGGGACAGGTGGGCCAAAAGAGTAATCTGGGCAGGAAGGACTTTTGGGTTAGCATCTCCAGGTTTGCTGGGAGCTGTTTCATTAACATTTCCTTGTAATGGGCTCTGGGCCTTGGGGACATTTTCAAATCCCCTTTTCCTGAACTCCATTCTCAATATGGCCTTCATTCTTGATATTAGACCAGATTTACCTAACTACACTAACTACCTTTCTGTAAATCTGGCTTCACAGAGGGAGCTTTTGCCTAAATCAATTTGTCCCTCTGAACCCTGAGTTCAGAAATGTTTAGAACTTTGTACCCAGTGTGTAGGGGGAGGAGGAGCTCAGAGGCTCACAATCTGCAGAAATCTATATAAAAGT